TGCTGGTGGGAATGCAAACTAGTACAACCACTATGGAAAACTGTTTGGAGGTTCCTCAAACTGCTAAACATGGAGCTTCCCTATGACCCAGCAACCCCACTCTTAGGTATCTAACACTGATTCAAAAAGATACCTGCATCCCCATGTTTATTGCTACTTTATTCACAATTGGAAAGACATGGAAACAGCCCAAATGCCTCAAAATGGATGACTGAATTAAAAAGATGTGGTACATATACACAATGGAATATTACTCAGCAGCCAAAAAAAAAACCACATGACTTTTGCAGCAACATTGAGGAACTGGAAAAGATCATGCTTAGTGAAATAAGCCAGAAAGAAAAGGAAAAATACCACATGGTTTCTTTCACAGCAGGAATATAATGGAACAGGCAAGAAAATAATAATAATGATGAACAGCTACATACCAGAGACATTTTGTGGGGAGGGAGTGGGGAATGGAATAAAAAACTGGGGAGAGGGAAATGCACTGGACTATGGTGATAGCACATGGGTGATTTGGTGATGGGAAGCCCAAGGGGTTTGCAATTGGGTTGGGAAATTGCCCAAATTTTTTTAAAATTTTCTTTTTTTTTTTTAAAAAAAAATCAAGGAACAACTATAAACCAGAGACATTCTATGGGAGTGAAGAGGGAAATAGGATCAAAACTGGGGCAGAAGAGCATGTGGGACTGTGGTGATGGCACATGGGAAGTCCATGGGGATTACAACTGAGATGAAAAAATATACACAATGAAAAATGATGTAAAAAATAACTAAAACATTTTAAACAGAAAAAAAAAATAAAAGACCATCCTAATAGTGAATTGCCCCAGAGTGGAGCCAGAGGCACTGGTAATTATTCCTAACCACTGACCCTTTCACAATGTAGAAGTTAATGGAATTCTAAAAAAACAGAAAGCATCAAAGTGTAAAAAGTGTTCTATTTTAAAATATTTTGTCTATATCTTTGATTTTTCTAAATTTACTGCAAAGAGAAAAATAGTAATTTTAAATGAGAGAGGAATAATAGCATTATTTTATAAATATATGATGGAAAATAATTTTATCTCTGAAATAATTCTCAGTAACGGTTTCTTTTATGGTAAGAATTTTTTTAACTACTAAAAGTATATGATTGTACACACACACACACACACACACACACACACACATATTGTCCTAAAATTAGTCTGGGCAAAAGCAGCTAGCCAGCCAAAATACTTGAAAATGAAATGATAATTTCCAATACTGGGTTTCAGCAAAGTACAAAAAATGCAGCTTTTCCTCTTGAGTCTCCTGTTCCTGATTGCACTGTTGCCAGTTAAGTGGAAGAGTGAGGTTTGCTAAATCCAGAAAGAGAACTAAAGAAAGAAGAATATTTGTACCCAAGAGAACTGACTGCGCATGGGGAGCTTATAGAGTTGTAGTAACTGAAAAGAGAAACAAGGACCAAAGGGGTTTCAGACTTGGTCCAGGAGGGAAGATGCTGAGATAGCATTGTTTTGTTTTCCCATTCTATCTCATTGAGGCCTTGAAATGCCATGATATAAACACACACCTACACTTCATTATTTTCTCCTAATGTCCTTCTTTCCTAGAAACATCTCTTAGTCTGCATCCCATCCTATTGTAAATTGGGGTAAGGAGAGTGGTTGTAGCAAGGGTAAGAGAAGTGTGAGAGTGGCTACCACTAGGAAGCATTGATTTGGGAGTGTTTAGGGAGCAATAGAAGTAGAGACTTTGGATGTCATTGTTGGTAAAGCAGGAAATGTATGAAAATGTGTGATTTAGTAAATGAACATCTATTGCCCATGGACTACAGTGTTTAATTGCCAATATTCTCAGACAGTTAAAATGGGTGTTCAGTACCCTTCCCATGGATGACTGGTAACAAACATGTTGAAGGATGAAAAGTAACAGATGTACCTTAATGGGTGAGATTCCTAGTGCTTACTAATGTACAGCTTTATAATGTCTTTTTCTTGCAGGGAATCCAGTATTTATGTTCACTTCAAGACCTGAATTTATATTATAACAACATTCCTTCATTAGTGGAGGTATCCCGCCTGCAGCCTTTAGCCTTCCTGAAAGAACTAGATTTGAGACTCAATCCTGTTGTCAGGAAAGATACAGACTATAGGCTCTTTGCTGTGTACACGCTGCAAACTCTGGAGAAACTGGGTGAGAGCCCCCTCCTCTGTTCCTTGCCCCAGAATCCTACTTTAAGCCAGTTGCCTCCTAACCTTTGGATGTTGGCCCAGAGTGTGCACTGGCAGGATACGTTTGTTTATTAGTCAATATTTATGTAACTCTTTTGTGTTGGCAGGATGTATGACGACTCCTTTTATTGTTTATTGAGTGACTATCTATGATTTTATCAGTTACTTCCAGCTTTAGTTTTCTTCAGTTGATGGTTTCACCACCACTTCCTCCCCAACAGAAAGTTTCCAGGTTGAGATTTGTTTTTCCAGGTGCCCCAGCTTTGCAACTGTATTAGCAATAGAAAACTAACACAACTTTTGGGGGCTTGATTGCAAGTCACAAAAAACATTCCTTCAAGTGAGCTGCTCCACACTTCTTTATAATTATATTGTTGGATATGCATTTCTTACTGATTCAACACTGGATTCCTTGGGAAAGTTACTGCAGAGACCCTAAGTAAAGTCTTTCAGAAAACAGTCTGTTAGTCTTAAATTTCAGTGTTAGTTTGCGTTGTTTGTTACCCAAGCTCTACTTTCCTGCAGGGGTAGTTACACCTACCAATGTGGCAGTTGTTGCTATGGTACCCCTGTAATCTCCCTGAGTTACTACTTGCTCCAGTGACAACATAATAGCATTATTTTGTGATCTGCCTCTCACAAGAGAACTGAGAATGGTCTTTAGATTTTGCTCTGTATATTTGGTTTTCTGACCCTCTATTGTTTAGTCCAAAAAAGAAACATGCTCAAACCACGGTTTTTGCCTCCAGATGATCGAACTGTACGTGAAAGTGAGAGAAAAGCTGCTAAGATGCATTTTAGTCTCTTGGGCAACAGTGAAAATTTTCTTTTAGAAGTAGAAAAAAGGTAAGAATATTGTTTCCAAATAGACATTCTTGTATGGTTAGTGTACTTAGAGGGTAGTAAATTCTTGGTTAACTTGCTTCATTTTCTAGCAGAAATATCCTCAGAATCCTCATATAAAAGTGTTTATTCAACGTGAGATTTATCTGGGATGAGAATCTGTCCCTCAGTGGGAACATTTCTGCTTTTTTTGAACTGTTTGGTTTGCTGTAGATGTTGCACATTCTACTTGCAAATCCTCTAAATTTGTTATTCAGCATTTATACATAGGGATAGAGAAATAATTTATCATTCCTGTAAGTGTTCAAAATTCCTTTGTTGAGTTATAAATCAGTATATGGCCTTTTCTTATTGAATTAGGAGAATTGTATTACTATGGCAGGGTAAATAGAAATCCATTTGGCAACAAAAAAAAAAAGAGGAAGAGGAATGCATTTCTCTCAAAAACCAAAACTATAGAAAAATATAATGAAAATTTCAAAATCTCCCATATCTTCATGCTAAGAATTAACTATTAGTAAAGTTTGGTGTACATCTTTCCAGACATCAGTGTACCTTTAGACACACTTAGATCTATTATTATAATGTATATTTTTTCTGATGATATAAACATTATTGAAAATTTGGGAAGTATAGGGGAAAAACCATAAGGAATAAAATAACTCATAATTCTGCTACCCAGCAATAAACACTATTATATTATAGTTAATATCCTTTTAGACTTAGGATTGTATATGTTTATATGTAAAAGAATACATATACAATAATTTAAAAATAAAAATATGATATTTTATAGTAATTTATTTCCTATACACACATTTTTTATTTGATATCATGAATATATATCCTAATGACATTATTCCTCACCAGAATGAGATTTTTGTTTATTGTCCTTCCCTTCCACTGGAACATAACCTCCATGAAAACAAGGACCTTGGCTCTTGTTTATTGAAGTACACCTAGAACAATGTCTGGCTCCTTTTAAGGGTTTAAGAAATGATTTGTTGAATGATGAATGAATGGAGTCAATATCTGTTGGCCTGGACTCTTCCTCCTTACTAGTGACTTTGCTCTGTGTACTCTGATTCTTTATATGCTTTATAATGTTACCTTCAAAGAGTATCTTTAGTGTCCTATTTTTTTAGTTACCTATTTTTAAAAGCAAGGTTTACTGAGGTTAATTTACATAGTATAAAACTCACCTGCTGAAAAAGAAATAAACTGTTTCTTAAAAAAATTACTTGCATACTTACCTGGCAGGGGAGATGCCATGATCACGAAGGTGTTTTCCCAAGGCGAGGCCTATCCATTGCACCTGGATGTGCTGACCCCTGCGATTTCCCCAAATGTGGGAAACTCGACTGCATAATTTGTGATAGTGGGGGGCTGTGTTCATGCTCTCCCCTGACCAAAAAAAAAAAAAATTACTTGCATATATTTAGAAAAATACTCCTGTTTTAAAAGCTTTTTGGTACCCCATTTTCCACAGAACTACAGAGATGAATTAATGTATAACTGAGTAATATTTCCAGTAAAGAAATTAATTAGCTCCCTCATTTGTTTGTTATTGTATAGTGTTTGCAGATCCAGAGGTAAAATGTTACAGTGCCAATCTTACACTAACATTTCATGAGCTCTCCAACCTTGGGTGAAGTTTGTTTTTATTTTTTTTTTAAGCCTTTTTCTGAGTAGTATTTCCCACAACCCATATAATAGAGATGATAATTAAAAATCCAGTGGGTATAAAGTGGCCTAGGGTATCTGTGCTTACTGTACTTCCCAAGATACCTATGTCAATCAAGTGCAAATACTTGAAGTATAGGGGAAAAACCATAAGGAATAAAATAACTCATAATTTTGGGGTCTGTTTTTCTAGCTAATGATTACAGTTGTCTCTGCTTTAATTCTTGCTAGCAGAATTTTCTCTTTGGTGTCCTATGAGTTTTTAATACAAAGGAAAGTAACTTACTTCCTCAATCATTCAGACCTAAGTGTTTGTCAAGAAAATATTATCTAAATTCTGTATTTTTCTGGCTTTTGTACTTACCTGAATTATACTGTCCTCATTATTCTCAGTAAAAAAAGTAGTGACTTAAAATGGCTTTAACTAAAATATTTGTGAAATTAATCTGTTCTAGAGCATTTGGGGAAAAAATCTGATCATATTTTCAAAATAGTATTTATTAGTGGTCTCTGAAGTTTTCTTTTGAGTTTAAGTAAATTACTCTGTGTAGCAGCTCTAGGGAAAAGACTGTGAAAAACTGTGTGACAGATGAGACCTCTTCATCAAAAGTCAACTCAGATGTTGAGAACAGGATTGAAACTGGTAAGTTTTTTCTTTGTGGACACAAAATAATTTAAGCATTAGTTTCAGTTTTCGTGGCCAATCTTGAACACGATGAACACAAAATAATCGAGAAATACATAGATGTGAAGAAGTTCATAGATGTGAAGAAAGCAAGCACAAAATTCAATGACTATATTTTCTCTTACTGCAAGACAAGCCCTAAGCCAGGATCCATCAAAGCACAAATCTCATTTCTATCATTAGTACATTCTGAAAATTACATTGCCCATCCCCATGGGCCTCTGAGCATTGCTAAGGTAATTGATTCTCTAGCCAGCGATTCATGACTCAGCGACAGCAATGCAGCTCCTACCCTGGACCTTTGGGGTTTCTCCACCAGAATCATTGCAGCCTTAGAAGCTTTTGTGTTTGTGCAGTTTTCCTGGAGAGTGTCTCCTGTAAGCATTGTTGGCAATACAGTGCAACTAAAGTGGACACCGACGCTCTAATGGCTGTGCTACAAGCTAGGAGAAGCAGAGAAGTTCCATGTCGTGTACCCTGTGGGATGCCCTGTGTTCCCACATCAGAGAGGTCAGATGACCTTATACTTGAGAAGACTTTCTTCTGTCTCAAAACCTGTCTTTTTTGAAAAATCTGTTGAATTACATGCAAACTTTAAAAATCAGTCCCTGAAGATTGACTGTGTAAGTTAGACATTAAGGGTTTTCAGTTTATAAAAGTTAGTATTTTATTTATTTTCCTGACTTTTATGCATGTGGGCAATTATTGATAAGTCATTTTCAAAATATTTTATGGTAAAATAAGCCACAGTGAAGTATGATTTTATTTTCTTTCATTCAAAGTCTCGGTGCATGTAAGTCATGAGAAGAACATGGACTGCTTTATTTAATTTTAAATGCATTTTTTATTTTTCAGATTTAGTGACATTGTACTATAATATATAATTTAGGAAAATATTGAAAAACAACATTTTAATCATGTGTAAGCCTCTCCTTTAAAGAGAATCCAATTTAATATTTTGAAATACAGCTTTCAGTTTGTTTTTTTAGGTACAAACATTTATATATTTATTGCCAGATACATTGAAGAATAATTTGACTGCCTTTATTTGTATGTGCTGACTTAAATTTCATTTAAGTCATATTACATAATTTCTACACACAAAGTTCCATTCCATGAAAAATGTTTTGAAGTATACAGTCTGTACTGTATACTTCAAACTGCTCTGCTAAACTGCAGGCCCATTTCTAAAGTCCTTGGAAGCAGCAGCTGTTGCCTGTTTTTCTTTAATATAAAATTTACTTTGCTGCTTTTAAACATTAGAGAGCTTTGCTTTCCTCTAAAAATTGTATTTGTTCTGGGTCCCTGAGGAGTATTGCCTGTAAGCACTGTCAGTAATCTGATATGACTAAAATGATTAGGCCATTTTAATGGGCATGCCTGAGGCTAGGAGAAAACTCTAGAGAACAGAGCTCACTATCTCAGTGTTTGAAGTAGTGCTTTCCCACTAATCATTTACAGTGGGCAAGGAGTCTCCACTATCTTGGGTCCCAAAAGTGTCCCCTTTTCTTTCCTTGTATCCATCAAATGACTTCAGACTCTTCTGTACTCCATATTTTATCTATTTCTACAGCTTTAACTTCCTCATAAATGATTCTTAAATATATTGGTTTAGCTTTAACAACCTGTACCAATTTGTCTCTGCACCAGTCCCCCATTTCTGTTGACCAATTGGAATCACCACTGCATAACTTTCTAGCTTTTCAAGCTAAATGTGTCAAAAAAACAAATGAAATCCTTTCATCTAGTCCTAAACAACTCCTAGAGTTTCATCTGTATTACCATCACTTCCCATTACTCATATAGGCTTTGATGCTGCTACTACCAGGAAGCCCAGACAAACGCTCATACTATGTATTATGATCCACAATTGATGAATCTTCCATTCCTTTTCATAGTTGTATCTTTTTAAAAAGATTTATTTATGCATACAGAACTGGGGTATAGGTCAGAGATGCAGGGGCGGTGAGAGGATTCACCATAGTCAGAGTGGGGAGCAGAACAGGCGGATCAAAGAAGTACACTGCTGAGGGGAGCAACAGGTGTGACAGGAGAGGTCTGCCACGCTATGTGGGTCATCTCTGGGGTCAGGGATCAAACTGACTGAAGCAGCTGCGGCCAGCTTGCTGTTCATTGCACCACCAGGGAGGGCCCCCGTAGTTGTATCTTAACAGACATATTAAATAGCTCAGCCAGGCCCTGGGCATCATCTCATTTAATCCTCACTATAAGTTTGAAGGTGGTTGTAATTGCCCTTGTTTTACAAGTGAGGAAACAGACCCAAAGAGGTGAAATAATTTACTCTAGTTATATAGTAAGTGGCACAGCTGGAATACAAATCCTGGTTCATTTGTCATCAAAGTCTTCTTAAATATTATACCATGCTGCCTCCCAATCTCTGCCTCTTTCCATTTTTTTGACTTTCTTGTCAGTTTAATTCTCTTCAAACTCTGTGGTGATAATTATACTTGCTCCCTTAAAAATTTTCATGATTCCCACTTATCTCTTAAATTACAGCTCCTTAATCTGCCATACAAGACTTCTGTAACCCTGACCACAAGTTCTTTCAGTCTAACCTGAAACCTTTCCTTCTGTTCTTCAACTACAACATCCATTGTTTCAGTCAAACCAAGCCACCTCCCCACGTAGTCCTTCCTCCTTCCTCTGTCCCTAAACTAATGATCCTATCCATTTTTTATGACTCAACTCAAAGTCCATGCTTTTTTAGCAGTGCTTTTTTTGGCTCCCAAACCAAAAAAATTTTTTCACCTTTTTTAGTGAAAAATTTTTTTCACTTATTTTGTAGTGTGTGCACTCTGGAAAAAAAAAATACAACCTGAATCACTTGCAGCACTCTTAGGGAAATAAGACAAACATAAAAGAGTTAAGTACCACAGTTCTAAGCAATGCATGTGAAAATGCCAAATTGATACTGGGAGATAGCGCAATGAAAACTGGCCAAGGGCAGTGCCTAAATAGTTTACCTGTACTTCTCTGAGTTCTTCACTTAAGTGTACAACTGCAAGACCATTCAGGTGCAGAGAATAGCAATAATGGGGTTTATTTAACAAAGAAAACAGAGTCACTGAGGCCACAAATAGCTGTTTACCTCACCCAAAGCAGAGTCCAGTATTTTAAAGTTCTAAATAAAAGGCATCTACAATGGCATCTCTCTGCCACTAAGGGCCAGGAGCATATGGCAGCCAGACAGGATCCAACTCACAAAGACAGTAGAAGACACAACAGGAGATGCTCACAGGAGCTGCCAGGATACGGCAGCACAGTACCAGACAAGTGACCTCGGAAGTACCAAGTACAGCAGCCACATAACCCAACAAGTGGCCACACTCACATAGCTCAGTGAGGCGCCCAGCTTCATGTCTTCACCTTCCCTTCCATGTTGAAACAGCAGCAAAACTGGGAAGTTTCAGTCCTCAGCTAACTGTAAATCCACTAAACTTTTTTCTTCTGAGGTTGGCTGCCAGAGTCTAGATGGGTGTGGGAGGGACAGGACTAGCCAGCTCTGCAATCGCTGCTTCCTAGAAAATCCCGAGTACTCCCTGAAGACTGAATCCAGGGGTTGCTTCTGCAGGCCCGTCTACTTCCTATCTTAGTCCATCCCCACTGATATTTTGTTGGTATTTTGCCTGGGGCTATTCCTTGTCACCTGCGCCACCCTCCAGGGGGCGCCACCTGTAACAGCCTTGGCTTCAGCTCCTGTTTACAAAAGGAAAGCTAAAGTCAGGGTTGTGTACCCTAATCCAGAGGTACAGCTTCTAAGTCCATGAGCAGTACAGGATCCTTTAAGTTTGTGGTTTTGTTTGAAAGCAGTTAGTAAAAACATTTAAAAGATGTAAAGGCCCAAAAAAGTTATTTTTCAATACTAGTTTACTGTTTAAAAACCGACTTTATTTTTTAGAGCTATGTAGAGCAGTTTTAGATTCACAACAAAATTGAACAGGAAATTGTTCTCTTGAACTCCCCACGTAGGCGCAGTCTTACCCCATTACCAATACTGTGCACCAAGGTACTATTTTTGCTACAGTTGAAGGAGTAGTTACACTGACACATCATTGTTAACCAAAGTTCATAGTTTGCACTAGGGTTTATTCCAGGGTTGTGTGTTCTGTGGTTTTACAGATGTGTAATGATGTGTGTCTAAGCATTTAACCATCATACAGAATAGTCTTATTGCCCTAAACTGTGCATACCTCATGATCATTTTGTCCCTTCTAATCCTTGCTAACTGATCTTTTCAATGTCATATAATAGTTTATTTTTGCATGATTTTGTGCATTTTTCCACCTCAGTAGTAATCCCCATGGGCTTCCTATCACCAAATCACCCTGTGCCATCACCATAGTCCAGTGCATTTCCCTCCCCCCACTGTTTTTAACCCCATTCCGCACTCCACCCTCGTCGCCAACATTTTGAGGTGTTATTTTTTTTTTAATTTAAATTGTGGTAAATGCACATAGCATAAAATTTACCGTAATTTTTAAAAAAGAAACCACAGCCTAAATAAGTTTACTCATTTACTCAAATTCACATACCATTTAGTAATTTTTAAGTACACAGCTCATTGGTATTAAATACATTTATAATGTGCAATCATCAGCACTATCCACCTCTTGAACACTTTGACCTGCAAAGCTGAACTGATTACACACCTTTTCCCCCTCTTCCAACACCTGGCATCCACCATGTAATTTTTTTGTCTGTTTTCACTAAGTACCACATACAGTATTTGTCATTTATGACTGGCGTATATCGCTTAAGATGATGTCCTTAAGGTTTATCTATGTTGTAGCTTCTGTCAGGATTTCCTTCCTTTTTAATAATATCCGATTGCATATATTTATACACCACATTTTGCTTATCCATTCATCTGTTGGTGAACACTGTGGCTGCCTCTGTGATTTAACTGTCAGGAATAATACTGTTATGAACGTGGGTAT